GAAACATTTTTTATACTCGGTGTTCGGTATGGCCATCAGAGTCGTCTTCGATTTTTTCATTATCTCCTCTTGGCTGCTAAAACGCGTTCCCCGTAGTGGTTTTTTGATTCGATTGAACAGAAAGAAGTCGCAGGGAGCCAAATCAGGTGAATTCGATGGCTGTTGGATGGTATTCGTTCCGTTCTTGGTCAAAAAGTTGCGGATAATGATGGCATTGTGCGACGGTGCGTTAATGCCATCATTATCCGCAACTTTTTGACCAAGAACGGAACAAATACCATCCAACAGCCATCGAATTTACCTGATTTGGCTCCCTGCGACTTCTTTCTGTTCAATCGAATCAAAAAACCACTATGGGGAACGCGTTTTAGCAGCCGAGAGGAGATAATGAAAAAATCGAAGACGACTCTGATGGCCATACCGAACACCGAGTATAAAAAATGTTTCGAGGATTGGATCAAGCGCTGGCATAAGTGCGTTGCAGTCGATGGGGAGTACTTTGAAGGGGACAATATTAATATTGATGAATAAACTTGTATTTTGCATTTTCTAAATAAATTCCGGGAACTTTTTGATCAAGGTAGTATATATAATAAAAAATATATATTAAAAATGTAATAAAAATATTATATACAATTTCATGATGCAAAATTCATTAAATGGAAATGTAGTGTTTGTTTTAAAACGTTTTACCTTTTATTAAACAGCTCAAACACAGTTACTTTAACAGACGTTTTAAACATATTTATTATAGATTTTAAAATATTTCCCGTGGTTTCCTGGGTAAATGACCATTATTTCCTTCTTATTTCAACCTTAAATAAGGTGGAAAAAAATGTTTTACAGGTTCCCCATCGGGGCACAAAACGGCTATTTTTACACCCCCTCCTTTTGAAGTTAAATTACTACATGTTTGTATGTGGTGTATATAATTTACCTTATACTATGTAGCATATTACCCATATGGTTGAGTAATATGCCACTTTGCAACACTTTTATATTTCTTTCTTTTTAATAGTAAACAATCAACATAGTAAACAATCAAAATATTTTATTAAAATCATATACAAATAACAGATAAAAAGAGGAAAAAGGAGACCAGAATGCAAAGATATTTCAAAGAGAGAGAAAACTAGAAAAAATATCAAATTTTTGTTAAATGTGGCATATTATCCCAGTTACCCTAATTAATCAATTAATTTTCGTGTTTTTATTTTGTGTTTTACTTTCTTGTTTAAACGTTAGAAAACGATAAAAACAAACTTAAAATTTTTGCTGCGAGAAAGATGTCTATTTTTACACCTTCAATCATATTTTATTTAAATAATTAAATATAATGGTTTAAATGTGTATGTTTTTCTATACAATTATAATTTATCCAATTTGATTAACAGATTACAATTTGATGCTAATAAAAATCCACTTTAATTTGTTACAAGAACAAATATTTTTAACGTGTGTATATAAAAAAAGGAACCGTTTAAAATATTAATATAAATACTACAAGGCTAAAAAAACGAGCAAACAAAGATATTATAAATTAAGATTAGTTTAATATCTCAATACATAAGTGTATAAAAGAGACATTTCGAGCTCCACAGAACCTTCCTCAATAAACAAATATTAAAAAAAGCATTTAAAAATTAAGATTTAATTAACAACGCGGACTATACGTCTATCCTAACGTCGGTGGCGAGTCAAACAAAAGTCAAAAGGAGTCACATCGTGCGAAAGCATAAAACAATACCTAAATCACATCGTGGTTATCTTGTGTGAAATCCATGATTGATTCCCCGTTTGAACTGCTGGAATGAACCAAGCCAGTATGTGTAAAAAAAAAGAAGAAGAAATCAGGTTGTCTGTCAAATTTAAGGTATTCCTTTCATGACACCAAAGTCTTAAGAATTAACTGATTTTTTGGTACGAGAAAGTTAAAATGCATATCTTTACACCAGAAAAAAATTAAACCACATTACCGAACATATAAAGAAGAATTATGACTTTGAAAATTCGATATTTATATGTGACGTTATCGAAAAAGTCTATTTTCCACATTTCAATGTAATAATTTGTTTATCAAATATCTTAAAATAATAAATATTAACTGCGTTACATATTCGCTAAACTCTATACTTTTGATAGTGCCAATAAAAATACAGAGTCACTGAATATTTAAACAAAATATTTATGTTAAAAGTTGACTTGAAATGTGGTTTATAGATGAATATTTTTAATGGCGACTTTCAAGAAATTATTTGGCAACGCTGCAAGCTGTGCGTTCATGTCACACTTCAGTTCATCACGTACAGTTTATTATGAACTATTTATCATGTTTTAAAAAAGAAAAATAATTCGAAAATATATTTCACAAATTGTCCCTTATTTTTACCCACATTACTCCTCACTTTATGTTTCTTATCACTCTTTATTATTATAAAATCTCTCTTTGATAAAAAGAAAATGTCACAATATTCTTTGATTAATGAAATTGACACTTACATTGACACTTTTGTTATTAACTTCACATTTTACAATCGGCGCCCTGAAAAGCGCAGCGTTGCTATATTGTTCTGACAGTAAAATTTACCGAAAAATAAAAAATTTCTAAATACACATAAACCCCTAGGATCAAGAGACACGGTAGTGTCTCGCGCCAAGTACACGCGGAGCGAGACCGACCGTGACTCTTTTACGCGACGCGACGGGTTGCGAGTACTCGAGATGTTGAGATCTCGATAACGAGTGAACGGATCAAGTTCTAAGTAGGCTTGATCGATAGCTTGGGGTCCAATTAGGGGGAGGGTTTCTCTTATAATATTCCGTTACATGCCCTACTAGCGGAGATATTGCGACGCAAAGTCCAAATGTGAAAATTTATTTTTAAGATACGAATACTTCTACGTCGACCGTCTCTCATCTCATTATTATTATGATTATCAAAAAAACGTCACTTTCACTTTTTCGACACTGGCGGCTAGCGGCGTTAGTATCGCAGTGCAGTGCAGTGCAGACCACGGTCGTATAAACAGGTCTGGGCACTCCTATCCAAAAGCATAGATGAAAACGTGATCCGAGTGAAGCCAAGAAAACCAATATGGCGTCAGCCTGAGGAGACGTTTGCGCATGCGTGGCACATGGCGGTCTATTTTGAATGATTAAAAAAATTATAACTTTTATGTATTTAAAATAAATTCAACTTTTTATTATTATGCTTATGCAAAAAAGCTCATAAAATTAATCAGGTTAGGTTAGGTTAGGTACAAGGAGTCAAGATTTAAATTTTATTTATTGTTAATTAATGATGCTTTAAAATACATATGTACGGGTAAAGAAAAAAGCGCATTTAATTTATTTTATTTATTACTAATAAGCAGGCTAGTGAAATTATGATAATTTATAGAAAACAAAATTGCCATAGTTAATAAAAAAAGGATAAAATCTTTAAATTTAATAATAAATATATTTTTAACTGTGTAGCAAATAATGTATGTATTGAAATAAGTAACATTATCTATTGAATAATAAATTAAAAACGTAAGTTTGTAAAGAAGTTTATGTTGTAGATTATTTTTATAATAAAATATATTTAAATGTAATTACATATTTATTACAGTATGTAATTCCTACGTCATATCTGTATTATATATTATTTTTGTTTGAAGGAATTGAAGAATAAAAACAATTGTATTCATATTATAATTAATAGTTTATTAAAATATACATAAATAAGTGAATAAAATTATTTCTTCAATAATAACAGTAATCTTAAGTTTTACAGAATTTTGCTAACATTTTTTTATGTAAATTTTGTTTTTCGGTATTTGTGTTCAGTTGGTGTGTAAATTGTCTCATTCGCATCGTTACATAATATTTTATAGAATAAGCTAATATATCATGTGCATGCTCTATGCAAGGAAATGTGAAATGATATGTATTAAACATTTCTTCTACAGTGTTAGAGTAAACATCAACTGAATGTGCATGTTTAGTGAAACAAGATTCTAAAGTATCAATCATTTTAAAGAACTTGATATTGCAATGAATAAGATTTCTTCTAGATTTCAAATCTACTAACTCTGCTTCAGAAACTTCACTACAGTTAAGTGGTGTTCGTAATGCTGATCTACATGTAACACATTTTGTGCGTTTCTCTATTTATCGTACTAAGTAACCTGAAAAAATAATAAATAACAGGTGTAAACTAATAGACTACACCACGGTCGTATAAACGTGGGCTATACATATTATTACAACTGTGGGCTATACACATTGTTAAAGTGCTTTGTAAAAAATTTGTTTACTTACTTTAAACAACTTACCAAAATAAATGAAATACCTAGCTAAATCATTCTATAATATATTTAAATTTATTTCTTTCAGAGTAGTAGATGAGTATCAATAATATGTATAGAAAATGAATTATGTTAACTATATATATAAGAGAGGATTGTCATAATCACATGACATATTTACCACGTTATTGAACTAAATTGAATGTATTATGCGCTATTTCGTTCAATAGAATGCTTAATACCAAGTAAATATCGATTTTTATTTTTGTAGAAATATGGAAATTTTTATAGAAAATGTAAAAGCTTCATAAACATTAGACTGTGTAATAAAATATATGTCGACTCTGACAAATAATACTGAACAAGGCAATCAATTTTTAAATTATTGAAAGGCAATACTCAATATTATGCAACAAAGTTAACATATTATTGCCAAAGATCCAATCCATAATAAGAACTTTTGAGAAATAAAATTTCAATTTCTTCAAAATCTTAATGGAATTGAATCTTTTCAATAATGCAACATTGTACAACCTGTAAGATAATAGATCACACAATCAAGCACATGAGCTTTTGTATAATCATGCTCAATTACATCAAAGAACTCCCATTCTTCATGCTCCATTCTTTTTTTTAATTTCTTCAATTCAGATTCATTTTTACTATTAAATATTTTTTTTAAATCTGAAATTGTAATTAACGTTTTAGGCAATGAACTTTCATCTACAGTACAATTTCCGTATCGTGGAGGTCTCAAGATAAAAAATATAGACAGCAATTTGTATAATTGCAAAAAGGTAGGTGTAGCAGGATGATCATTAGCACCTCCAGCTAATCTAATTACACCAAAAAATTTCTGAAAACAAGTTATAATATCACATACTTATTGCTTCTATTAGATCATATTTTTTCAAATTTTTACCTCTAAAGCATCTTGATTCAGTTTTCCAGTTAAAATGTACGAAAAACCAAAACGTGTAGTTAAGTACTCGCATAGATCTATTACGGATTTTAATGTCACTCGCAACCCTTCAGCAGTATTTGCGGTTAAGAATTCATTTGGACTAATTAAATTATTTCTCATATTTATTTCCCAATTATTGAGCCAAAGAAATGACAGTTGTAACATCTAAAAAATAAAAATAAAATTTCAAGAATGATGCATTACATTTTAAAATCATTAAAAATACTCGTATTATATGTACATACCTTAAAATCTTCAGTGCCAGGTGAAACTCCTTGGAAAGAATGTTTTCTATTTAAGGCATCAAACATGTCATTCATCAAAAGACAAAATATTTTTGTGCTGTCGGTATCATCAAATCCTTGATAATTTCTTTCCTTGTACATTTGGAAACCTGCTGCTACAGATCTGCTGAACAACTATAAATGAAAAAAATATTAATTGTATTATTATTCTGTTTTATGTAATAAAATGTAAAGTAGTTAGTGCAATCAAAAAAGGAAAAATATTATAACACTTTAACTAATGTTTTCTGTTTTATCAAAAGTTAAACATACTTGTGTAGCAAGTCGAACCTTCATTTTAGCAGAATTATTAAGTTTAATGTGATTTTCTGATAACTTTGGATAAACTCTTGCTCGTACTTCTGATAATGCAATATCGGTGTCATATAATATCTTGAAATGATTCCATTTGATGTGAGGTTCATCTGGACGTATCTAAAATATCACAATAACTTTTTATTGTAACTAAAAAAAGATAAAAATATAAAAAGAATTTTATTATATTCAAAAACATAAAAATTTTATTATATTTTATTATCTGCAGTAAATTAAATGTTATGTATTTGTAGGTACGTAAATTAAAATTTTAAAAATATTAAACATAATTAATATATATTTTAAGAACATACATATTCGCAAAATTTTTTCAAAGTAAAGTCTAAAAATAATACTTATTTTTAAATCTTTATGTAGTAATTGGTTTCGAACATTTTTAATTAAATGAGGTGTATCAGAAAAGAAAAACAATTTCCGATCTTGTTTAACAGGATGCTGCACAACAAGTTGTCGTTTCAGATAATTTTCCACTGATTTCGAACTCCTTCCACATTTTCCTGTTTGTTTCTGCTCCGTCGCTTATGACTCCATGTACTATTGCTCCAGCTTTTTCTAATTTTATGACAGCATTAGTAACAATTTTTGCTAGTTCAACACCATGCACAGGACCACTTGAAGCGAAAACACCAACAGGTTGCGTATAAGTGTCAGCTAAGGGCTGAAACATCACCACTAGAGCACTTTTGGCTTTTTCCTTAATTGTACTTGCTTTTTTGCCTTCATCGCCACAATCGACTAAACCTTGATAAGTTAGTGTAGACGAACTAACAGAAACTGCTTCTCGAAGGCTTATTTCATCTATCAATATAACACCTTGTTTTTGTAAAGGTTGTTTCTTATCAAGATGAGTTTTGAATAATTCAAAAAATTTGTCATCAAAACCGCACTTTGTACTTATAAGAGATAGGTATCGACGGACAGTCCTTACACAAGGCAAAGGCAATAAACCTAAATTTTGCAAATGTCTATATTGCTTCGGAGAACGAATATGCATTAAAATGCATAGCATCATCCAGTCTTCACTGTTACGTCGCCCTTTTACACTTTTAACTTTAGACGATGCTACAATTTGTTCAATTAATGTCCGCTGTATATTTGGAATTTGGTGATCAGTGCATTTTTGGAGGACAGATTTTATATCAGTATTACTTAACTCTGCTTTCATTTCATCAACACGATTTCGTAATCTATCAATTGTATTTTTTGCACGTTTTATCACACCTCTTTGTGCTCGGATTCTTTTTTTCCAAATATGCAAAACGTTTTTGTCAGTAAAATTAGAACAGCTAGTTTTCTTTTTTTCTGTATTTCTTTTAGACATACGGCGTCTTTTTTGACTAACAGTTTTTTGAACGTTTTTACATACTTTACATTTTCCAGGTAAAGTCAGTAATACGTGACAGTTATTATGTCGTAATTTGTCAAAACAGTCCATGTATCCAATTTTGTTTTTTACCAAATCCACACCATCGATGTCAGCTATTCCAGAGCAAAAAGGCATATCAGAATATTGATTTAATGTTACTTGTAGTTCCTCAAAATTGTGAAATTTATTAATAAGATTTAATTGTTGTGAAGCTAGATGTTTTCCCAGTGCTTTATATGAAAGTTTCATGGTATTGTTTATTATAAGACTTCTTTTTATTGTACAATCACTATAGTAACTTCCATTATCACATGTGTTGACTACACTAAGTTCTGCAAAAACAATGCAGTTTTTATCAGAAGGTATATGAATAATCCAATCTTTTCGTAGTTGAATCAAGTTGATATTTTCACATAACTGTCTAAACATAATTTGTTTCTGATATTCTCTGATATAATTTGTTTCTGATATAATTTGTTTCTGAATTGACATATTCGATATTCTGATCAATATTCTGAATATTTTCGTTCTTTGACGAATCACTAGCATTACTTCTATTGTCACAATCACTTTTGTTTAACTCAGGCACATTACTATGTTGCTCTGAAATATCTGAGTTAGCATTTTCTTCAGTAAAGAAATCGTCTTGACGAAATGTTTTAATCTCAGTGCCTTAATTTGAATAATTTTTTGAGTTTTCAACAGCAGTTTCATTTTCACTATTAATTCCAAGCAAAAAAAGAGACCCAGCAAACGAAAAAAGATTGAAAAGAATTAAAACGGGATTGCCAAGAATTCAATTAAGGACTTTCCGAATTCCATTCTGTCCAAAAAAGGGATTAAAATAGTTTCAATATCATGGAATTCCTTATTTTGGAAAGAATTTGTCTTTTTTGAATCCCATCCAATTCCGACACAAAAATATTATACCACTAAATGCCAGGTTAGGGATTGGAAAGTTTCGTGATGAATTCCATTGAATACCATTGATTCCATTAACGAAATGAATACCACTGAATGCCAGGTTAGGGATTGGAAAGTTTCGTGATGAATTCCATTGAATACGAATACCATATATTGATTCCGTTAACGAAATGAATACCATTGAACGCCAAACTAAAAATTAAAAATTTCCGTATTGAATTCCATTGAATTCCGTCTATTCTGACAATAAAATGAATACCATTGAATGCCAGGATAGGGATTGAAAAGTGTCCGTGTTGAACTCTGTGGCGGTACGCGCCAACAATAGTACACGCCCGCGCGGTATCTGCATTACTGGCAATTCGCGTCGACGCCGCTAGGCGTCGCATCGCCGGGGCATCTTCTCGAGTTCAAAGTTTCGTCTCGACCGCTATGTAAAGGGACCCCCTACGGTGCCTGACAGATCTTACAAATCTCATTTTCGGGCTAATTGCCCGTCGGCAGTAGTGCGTGTAATGCCCATAGACATACACAAAAGCTCACCGACGAACAACGGCGCTTGGTCGCCCAATGGAGGCGCGAGACGTTTTCTAAACCATCTAATGCCATGTAATTCCATAACCTTTACGGATTCCATAGGATTGGATGGAATTTAAAATTTCTTTTTTGGATTCCATGGGATTGGACCATCTCATTTCGAATCCCATTTAATTCCATCTAATTCCGCCAAAAAAGGGATTCAAAGGTATTAAAAAATTTTAATATCTTTTAATTCTTTTGCGTTTGCTGGGGATGGAACTGCATCAACAGTAAGTGTAGGGAGCAGCATATCTGTCTCCCTTCCGCTTGGTCAGCCCCCTCTCCTGCGCTAGCAAGAGGGTTGAGAGTTACGAGGTTGGCAGAACTGAGTTACGACGACCGTTAGAATTGTACTGACTCTCGTGGCTGTTGCATAGTCTCCGCATTAAAGTATTTCAAATGTTTCATAACCCAGTCCATCCGAGTGGCAAAATTACCGATCGCACTATCCGACAGCGTTATGTCTGGCCTGACATGCACCGCGATATCGCTAAATGGTGTAAAAATTGTATCGAATGTCAGCAAGCGAAAATCTCTCGTCATGTAAAATTTCCCAGCAAACGAAAAAAGATTGAAAAAAATTAAAACGGGATTACCAGGAATTCAATTAAGGACTTTCCGAATTCCATTTTGTCCAAAAAAGGGATTGAAATAGTTTCAATATCATGGAATTCCTTATTTTGGAAAGAATTTGTCTTTTTTGAATCCCATCCAATTCCGACACAAAAACGTAACGAAATAAATACCACTGAATGCCAAGTTAGGGATTGGAAAGTTTCGTCATGAATTCCATTGAATACCATTGATTCCGTTAACGAAATAAATACCATTGAATGCCAAACTAGGAATTAAAAATTTCCGTATTGAATTCAATGGAATTCAATGGAAACTATTTCAATCCCTTTTTTGGACAAAATGGAATTCCTGGCAATCCCGTTTTAATTCTTTTCAATCTTTTTTTGTTTGCTGGGTTAACTCCTGAGCACTTTGTTGCTCCCGACGGGCGATTTGATCAAGTGCATATTGACATTATCGGCCCATTACCTTCTTCTGAGGGTTACTCTTATTGTCTCACTATGATCGACAGATTTTTGCGTTGGGCCGAGGCAATTCCTCTTAAAGATATTTCCGCACAAACCGTTGCTAGAGCATTTTACGACGCGTGGATCTCCCGTTACGGAACCCCTCGATTACTAACTACGGATCAGAGGGCCCAATTCGAATCTCGCCTATTCGAGGCGTTACTTTCATTAATCGGTTGCGAACGAATTCGTACAACCGCCTACCACCCGGCGTCGAACGGCATGATTGAACGTTGGCATCGGGTGCTTAAGGTTGTATGACCCGTAAGATCTCTGCCAAAAGTTTAAAAAACATAACATAAAGCTAATTAACATATTTAAGAAGATATTCTTTACTGGAAAGTAATATTTATATTAATATTTTATTAAAATAACGGTTGCCTGTATTTTTAAGAGCTATAGAGACATTTTTATGCATATTTTCTCGTATGCAAACTTTTACTTTTAATGATTTTTAGAAAGACTGTACCTGACTTGCAACTGACACAAACGAAAATCTGAAAGTGTGAAAATCTTTAAAAAGTAACAAAAATAGTAATTACTGTTTAAAAATACTAATGAAATTATATAACGTTATTTATTTACGTCATTTATTAATAAATTAAATACAATAGCTCTCATAAAAAAGTATTTTGATCGCGACAACGTCGCATTTTCTGTAAGTTGGTAGCATTGATCTCACTCGACATCAGCTGCGTGAACGCGAAGTGTGTGCTCTGAGCACGTGTAATATACAGACGCAACGTTTGAGGTTAGTTTTCGCTTGCGCTACAAAAATGCCAAAAGTAAAACGTTACATCTGCCATGAAATTGTTACAATCATCTGGTGTGGTTTTGACTCGTGTCTTCAAATTACGTTTCCCAGTATTTGTCTGTGCTAACCGTTGATTGTACACTTTTTCAGTGACAACTTTTCCTTTCCACATGTAACGTTTTACTTTCGGCATTTTCGTAGCGCGAAAACTAACCTCAAACGATGCGTCTGCATATTGCATGTGCTCAGAGCACACTTTCGATACACAGGAGGCTCTATTGGAAAAAGTAACGGACCTCTGTAGTATTTGTTATCTTTTTACGGAGAGTGACGGAGAGAGAGGTTCTAATGTGACGTCATAGTGCGCTGTTGCCGGATCTCTGTACTTACGAGTTCAGTGAGACCAAGCGAGACTGTTCTCTGTTTGGTTTTTATTCAATATTTCAGAAAATATCGTCGAAGTCATAATTTTTTTGGTTCTAATTTGTTTGTAAGATGTTTATTAATATTTCTGCAAAGTTTTAAAAGGATGCCATATTTTCTTTGATATTAATTTCTCAAATAAAGTTGAAAAAACAGTGAAACTTGATGAATTCCCATAAGAGCCCATGTTAAATTCAAATTGTTATAACTTTTGAACGGGCCTCGCAAACTTGTTCAACAATGCTTTATTATTATAATACTCATCACCTGACAAAGTTTGAAGAATTTGGCATTTTTTCTTCTAAGGGGTCATACAACCTTAAAGCCGCAATCATGTGCCATGCCAATGCGTGCTGGACGCGTACCTTATCTACCGTTCTATTAGGACTTCGGTCGCACGTCCGTGCTGACACAAATGCGTCTCCCGCCGAATTTATGTTCGGGACGACTTTACGACTTCCTGGGGAATTCTTTCTTCCTGATGATTTTACACCTAACCCTAATTATTTCCTTGAAGAGTTTCGCGAATATATGCGCCAACTCCGGCCGGTTCCCGTCGCACACAAACATAAAAAACGCGTTTTTTATTTTAAAGATTTATATAATTGTACTCATGTATTTTTACGCAATATGGCTAAAAAGGCATTAGAACGCCCGTACACCGGTCCGCACAAAGTAGTGCAACGCATCTCGGAACGCGTACTTAATATCGATATCAACGGAATCACAAAAAGCGTGTCCGTCGATTTATTAAAACCGGCATATTTTGTCCTTGACGACACCGCCGAACCCCTATCAACCTCCGAGAACATACTCAACCGGAATGTAAATCCGAACCCAGCGCTTAAGACCTACTCTCGTAAGACTGTCACATTTGCGCCGTTCACTAAACCAAAGTGATTTAATTGTAAGACAGAATTCTATTCTATATAATGTTATTAGATATAAGTCGGCTCAAATTACGTTTAAGCATATAATATATCTTGATTTTTAGTTAAGGTATTGTTAACCTTGTACAATAGCACCTGGCCAAACGCATGAGCTCATTCGCATAGCGCAATATTACTTATTATTTATTTCGTTAACACTCGGGGGGGAGTGTGTAGGGAGCAGCATATCTGTCTCCCTTCCGATTGGTCAGCCCCCTTTCCTGCGCTAGCAAGAGGGTTGAGAGTTACGAGGTTGGCAGAACTGAGTTACGACGACCGTTAGAATTGTACTGACTCTCGTGGCTGTTGCGTGGTCTGCAATAAAGTATTATTTTATCAGCAGTAATCGAGTGTACAATTATTCCTCGATACCTCTCGTCAAGACGTCGGTAGTAGGCCGACACCCGGAGGCATAATCGACCTCCTGTGGTACCGAATTCCTACATAAGCTTAGGACATTGAAGTGGTAACTGAAAAAAATGTACATAAAAAATATTTAATTAAGTTGATTAAATTTCAAATATAAATTTACTTTAAAAATTGATTGATACATACAATAGCAATTAAATTTCCAGTAGAATCTCTATGTTCTGTACATCGCACAATATTTTCTGGTAAGAAACGTTTTTCACAAACACGCTTTGATGGCTCTAAATTACTGACAGAAATAACTGCTTCCCATTTTTGCTTACGTACGATATCTTTCGGTATCGAAAAGAGTGACAATTTTGAATAATAATAACCTTTACGATTGGTTTTGCAACCAGGAACTACGCAATAAAAAACCATTATACTTTCTATACAGCCTGAAAAACAGTTTTTCTAACACGAACCACCAACGTTTACGCGACTCAATTTTACGAACATTATTGCGCTCTCACATACACAATAAGACATGTGCATAGCGCATGCGCAAAAAGCTTCCTCACGTCGACGCCATGTTGATTTTCTGGCTTCACTCGGGTCACGGTCCCCCCACCGCGAGTGCCCAGACCTGTCTATACGACCGTGGTGCAGACAGTGCGTTCGTTTAGCGCGCTGTCAGTCAGTTCCTATTCATCAGTTAACCTATCTCGAGAGCACTCGAGAGACACGGTAAGTACAAAGTACGCGCAGAGCGAGACCGACCGTGGCTCTTTACGCGACGCGATGATTAATTACTGTTATACTTATTTTATTTACTGTTTGTTACTACGTTTACGTGAGTGTTTATACATGCAGGTATACATAACTTATTATATTAGTTTTCATATTGACGGCAGGGAGCTGATACTGAGATCAAGGAGCCTGTTCACACGAGGCGTTTCTGCCACGCGATTGCGGCCGCGCGTTAATAACGTTTGCACGAGCCGCACGCGCGTACGCGAAACGGCAGTAACACCGTATAATCGTACCGGCGATATACTGAATTTGAATTGCTTCGTGCTCTTATCTGGAGATTTCGTATCCCTACATCGTGTTACCACCGCTGCCGGAAAAGAAGGTTCTCTACGCTTGGCAGAAAGTGACGATTGACACGTTCGATCCCGACTTCGTTGATCGCAGAAGAGCTGGACTCGAGGTACGTTTCCGATTTGCAATTATAACAATATCGTGCGATGAATGTTGTACCCAATTATAACCTCAAATGAAGTTGTGCACGTTGCTAGTAACGCTGTCTGTAAAAATTTGCGTGAAAGATATATATATCTTGATATATAATTATATTAACATATTATTTTTAGACGTAGCTGTTGATGAAAGAGAATTAGATGGTGACGGTGACTTAATTTTGGGAGATATAGGTCAAGGATTGCCATTTAAAACTGGTACGTTTGATGGGGCTGTCAGTATTTCTACGCTTCAGTGGTTGTGCTATGCAAGCAAAACTTTGCACAATCCTACAAAACGTTTATATTGTTTCTTCTCAACGTTGTATGCATGCCTGTCAAGAAGCGCAAGAGCAGTGTTACAATTCTATCCAGAGAACGGTGAACAGGTTGAATTAATCACGGCACAAGCCACAAAAGCTGGCTTTTATGGCGGTGTGGTTGTCGATTTTCCAAATAGTGCAAAAGCAAAGAAAATGGTCTTGGTTTTAATGACCGGAGGAGTTGCTCCGCTTCTAAAGGCACTAGGCGTAGAGAACGAAGATAGACAAACCGTCGTAATTCAAGAAGGTTTGATCCTCTCGTTGTCCGTTATATCTATTATTTTAAATATTTCTCTATTATATCTTCCAAAAATTGTGATAATTTTTTTGTATATAGGGAATACATAAAGAAAGCCAAGGGTAAATCATTGAAGACAAGTAGGGACTGGATTTTAGAGAAGAAAGAAAGGCGGCGCCGGTAAGGAAAAGAAGTTAGAGATGACTCTAAATATACTGGACGAAAGAGACCCGAGAGATTCTAATTGTAAGATATACTTCGTTAATATAAAAAACACTATTTTAATAATTTTTTTATAATTTATAATGTTAATTATAAATAAAAAAAATTGATAAAATTGATCTAATTAATTTTTGTCTGTTTCTATATAATCAATCTACTACTTAAAAATAATATATGCATAAAATATTTTTTTTAGTAACGAAAAATATGTGCCTAAAAAATTTTTTTGTTAAAGAATATCAAACATGAAATTTAATAATCGTGACTGTGCATAAATGTTTGTGTAAAGGGGAATATTTTTCTTTAAAAAAAATATTAGGAGTCCTTTATAATGTTAATATTACGGTAATAATAGACAATATTAATAAGAGATCAAAGAATGAGTTCAATATTTTATATTTTATTCTTTACGTAAACATAAATTGTGAAATACTCTGTTGTACTCTAGTAGGTAATACTTTTTCTAATTCTTCATGATCCAACCACTGGTATTTTACGTTATTGTTGATATCTCCATCTATATGTTTGGCTAAGAAATAAAGTATTTTAGCACCATAACTTCTTTGCTCGCAAAGCTTCTTAGGATATTTGTATTTGTAGAATCCGATAGGTGCATTTCCATAAAACTTTACTTTTATTGTTGCACCACATGTATCTTGTAATACTCTCTCCGCAGTCTGTAAAAGAATTGATAAAAAACATTTTCAAATCATTTTTTTGTCCCCATTAAGATATTCACATGCAAAATTAGTTGTAGAGAGAAGTTGTAATATATTTATTCGGTTAAAATTGTTATTTTAATTCTTACTCGTTTCTTTATGTTTGAAATGTATATTTATGCAATATATATAAAACTTTGTTTATTTTTTAGGGCAGTAGAACAAATATTGGCGTGATTGTAACATCATTAATTTTTGCAGAAAATTATATGTAGATTTAACAGTCTGTTAAATATAAATATGACAATGTATTTATGCAAAAAATCTTTACATTTTTAAACTCTACGTATAATGTATTCCAATTTTTATCATGTGCGGCGGAATGATTCCTTTATGAAATTATCATAGATAAACCTTTACAAAATATGACAAAAAATGTTAATAGAAAATTAGGCAGACTAAGCAGGCCCATTGAGCTACACATGAGTACACATGAGCTCGGAACGTACTTACGACATGTCACGGCGCAGGATACGAATAAGTACGACCGTGAATGAAGGAAATTATATAATTTTATTAATAATTGTAATACAATAAATGAAAGTTGAAATATATATAATGTCCGTTGATTATACATTGTACCCATGTTTCGCATGGATTTGCAAGAAGAAATTTCCTGCTCCAACGCGTGTAAAAAAAAAGTACTTTTTGCTTTGACGCGTGTAAATAAAAATAAAAAAGAAGTAAAGGAAAAACAACGTTTGCAGCCTTTTTTCATCACGAACGTTGTGTGTGTGTGTGTGTGTGTGTGTGTGTGTGTGTGCGTGCGTGTGCGTGTGCGTGTGCGTGTGCGTGTGCGTGTGTGTGTGTGTGTGTGTGTGTGTGTGTGTGTGTGTGTGTGTGTG